GGCTCCGCTGCATACACCAAGGACCAACACTTCGCGCGATCAGTCAAAAAAAGGGCGCTCCCGAGCAGACTTGCATGGGCTCGTTTGGGATGGGGGGAAGGGGGCGGGGCGGGGCGGGGCGGGTGGGGGGAGGTCGTCGCACGCGATCGCGTGCTCTCTCGCGCTTGTGCTTTTTGCCGGGCCGGCGGCCGACGGTCTTCTTGTGCGCGATCACACACTCTGACACTGGCGGGAGACTTGACGTTGTGGCACTGTGTAAAGTAAGGTGGAGAGCTACACTGTTAAAATGACATATTTTCTGATATGTGCTGCCTGCTTTGAGGTGCGATTGCGGTGCACATGCCGCAGTGCAAGCTGCGTGCCGACTGCCCATGCGCCGGCGCCCGTGCGACGACTGCGGACTCGGGGACGTGGGGTGCCCCGAGCCCGACGAACGCCCCGACGTGTGCGTCGTCGAGCGTCACTGTTGCGCCTCCCCCCCCCCCCCCGCCCATAAACCTCCTCCCCTCCCAAATGACTCGCATGGCTGCTTGGTCAATGGACTCTCACTCTCCTCCCTGCTCCCTCCACGGCGTTTACAGAGTGATCAAGGCCCCCTTGCTCGCCAGCCTGCTGTTCGGCCCTGCTGCAGGCCTGCACTGAGCTTTTTGGTCAGCCCCTCCGGCGGCCATTACGAACGCCCCGGAGGGCGTCTAGGCGTGCTTCATGGGGTGGTCATCGGGAAGCGCCTCTTGGTGATGATAGAAGAAGAAGGCGAAGCAGATAATGAAATAGGTGAAGAGCAGCATCGTGCCTTCCAACCAGTTGGTCTCGCCGTCACTAACGATGTGCGAGACGATGAGCACGGAAAGAAAGGTGATTATCGTCTCGTACACGCCAAAGACTAGGGTCAATGGCTGGTCAATGGCCCAGCCAATTATCACCATGAGCGGGACGACGAAGAGTGCGATCTGCGTCGACGAGCCGAGCGCGACTCCAAAGGCGAGATCCATCTTGCCCTTCCAGGCCATGACGATGGCAGTCGAGTGCTCCGCTGCATTGCCGACGATGGGGATGATGACGAAACTTACAAAGGTCTCAGAAATGCCATATGTCGCAGTGGTGCCTTCGATAGCGCCGGTGAGCTTCTCGGAGAGAAAGGCGATCAGCACTGTTGCGAAGGCCAGCCACGCGATCGCCCCGCTCATCGGTAGCAGCACCTGCCGTGGCAGCGGAGCGGAGGATGAGCCGGGCCTGAAGAAGGCGGCTTGGACTGAGGGACACACAAAGGCGACGCGCCTCCTCCGGCTCCTCGTCCTCGTCCTCGCCGGACGTGTCCTCAAACAGCGCCGCGTGCGAAAAGAGCTGCGCCACGAGAGAAGGACGGGCGGGAGGGTTAGTTGGTGACGGCGCAGGGCGAGGGAGGATGGAAGGCCGCGCCTGAAAATAGACGTAGAGCACGTAGAGTATGAGCAGGACGATTGAGATGCCTCGTGCGAGCGTCAGGTCGTTCGGCGAGTGCTCCGCGAACTGTCCCGTCGACTCCATCGCCGTCGGCACGACAAGGCCGAGGATGGCGATCTGCAGCAAGGTCGTGTTGGACTGCGCGGCGACCAGATTGAACTTGGACTGCATCTGGCGGATGCCAGCGGCGACCATGGAGCAGCCGAGTACCAGCAGCGTGTTTGACAGGATTGATCCGAGCAGCGACACCTGCACCACCAGCAGCAAGCCTCGCTGGAGCGCAAAATAGCACACGATCAGCTCAGTCGCGTTGCCAAAGGTGGCATTGAGCAAGCCCCCAACCGTCTCATTGGTGTGGAAGGCTACCTGCTCGGTCGCCTCGCCGAGCAATCCCGCCAGAGGAAGGATCGCGGCGGCAGCGAGGATGAAGGTCTGCGCGTCATCCAGCCCCAATTCTTGTGTGAAGCACGCAAATGGCACCAAGATGAGGCCATAGTAGAGCTTGTTGCCGGTGAGCATCTTGATGGAACCCTTGATGGTGGACGGCGGGATCGCGTTGCCCTCCTCGTCTACGCTCTTGATCACGACAGGGGGGTGCACCACTGTCAGCTTTGTCCGTGAGCGCACTGACAGCGGCCGCTCGGACGCTGTCGGTGACTCCTCGTTGAGGGAGTTGTAGGCCACGAGACCACTCGGCGCGCTCTTGTGGGCAGACATCTTCCTCCCCGGCACGAGGCGGTCTTCAGAAGTCGTGATTGCTCTCCCTGCGCGGCTGCGGGCCGCAAATTCAACCGCGGCGTCGGCGGGCCGCAGCGCGGCACCCGTTAAAAGTAGTCGAAAAGAATTTAAACAAAACAACTCTCTCTCACAGCACACAGGCTCGACACAGGTGCGAACGTCGAAAAGAATTTCCCCCCTCGTCCTTGGATCTTTATTCCGAGAACGACGCGACAGAGGAGGAAGTGACAAGGGAGAGAACGACGAGAGTGGGGCGGTCTTCTGATAAACGCAGTATGGAAGATACAAAGAGACGGAGGAGCAACGAGCGCCCTGGCGTGAGCCGAAGACACTCCCTCCGTAGACACTGATCACACACGGGTGGGACAGGGTGGGTCACAACAACGAGGCACGAGAGCGTGCACGACAGAGCGACGGCGCAGCGTACCGCCGTCCAGCTAAAAAGCGGCGGCCGACGGTTGCTGCGCAAAGTGATCAGTTCTAAAATAGGTGCCGGGGCCCAACGGATAGATGAATCCGGGGCACCCTCCGCTCGAATCCCTGGCCGGGGTTCGAGGTGGCCCCCACCCTGGGGCCTCCCATCAAAGGGACTGCGGCAGAAGACGCCCAATCTTGCACAAGTGCAAGAACCATACGTCTTCTGATAAACGCAGTATGGAAGATACAAAGAGACGGAGGAGCAACGAGCGCCCTGGCGTGAGCCGAAGACACTCCCAACTGCGCTCCGTCACCGGTGTCGCGGTCTCCCCTGCGAAGAGAGATAGGAAGAGGCAGACTCCCTAGGGTGGGCGACGGCTAGCGCACCACACACCTCTCCTTAAAATCCCTGTGTGGTGGCGGCGTGCCGTCCTCCCATCCCTCCCTTGGGTTGTCTGTTTTCTTTCTTTCTTTCTGGATCTTTATTCCCATCCCTCCCTTGGCTTGTCTGCTTTCTTTCTTTCTTTTCCAAGAACTGGCACGGGCTGCAGATGCAGCGTTTGTCTGTCGTCCTCCACACCGCCGTGGCGTGGCAGACGGTGAACGAGCTAGCGTGCGGGGACAGCGGCATTGTGCACGGTGCTAAGTGCATTGCCGTTCTTAACGGAGTCGCTTAGGCGGCTCCGGTGGTGTGCCGGTGATAGTACTAGCACGCGCCAGTTCGCACCTGTGTCGAGCCTGTGTGCTGTGAGAGAGAGTTCTGTTGTTTAAATTCTTTCTTTTTGGATCTTTATTTACTTTCTGTTCTTTAATAAAAGCACGCAAAAAAATGGTAGATACAAATTGAACTCGGGGAAGGGGAGACGGAAACGCCAGGCTACACGGGGGGCACGCCGACAAGAAAGCGACCGAGGGGTGCGGTCGTTTTTGCCTTCGCTGCTGACGCCAAACAACAAAGATGTGTGACGACAAAGGCCAGCACGTACGCGTGTGGGGAGAGGCGGTCCGTCATCTCGGGAGTGCGTGCGTGTGCCTCGATGTACACTCTCCTGCTCAGCGATGCATTGCCCGCGAAAAGAAAGTGGGCGGCTCGAGGTCTCGAGATACACAAAGCGGCCAAGGCCTCCGCATGAAGTGCCGTGCCGCGAAAAAAGGCTCTCCAATAGGAAGAGAAGTGGCAACTCCGTGCACTGACGGTCGGCCGCCAGAAAACACGCCTCCGTGGCTCGGGTTACACCAATCCTCGCTACCCAACGCGGCCAAAGGATATCCACCTCGAGAACCTCGAGATCGAGGAAGAAAAAGAAGACCCACCGGGGCGCTCGCTTTGGAGTCCATCGGCTTTGCTGTGCCACAGCTCCTCGCGAGACGCCCTAACCACCGACCCGCCAGGGCGATGAACAGAACCGGCACTGAATGGCTGCGTTCGACCCGCTCGGGCGGCTTCTGCGAGTCCGTCTTGGCGCTCTCAAACCGCACCGGCCCATGGCCCGAAGAGCCGCCATTCGTGGGCGAGCGTCCCGGCAAGCTTGAGCCAGGTGCGGCGGCGACGGCGGCATTCATCATTTTTCTCGGTGGGTACGAGCTGTTCACCGCCAGACACTCGATCCCGGTGGCCCGCTATCTGAACATCCTGATCCTGCTCAACGGCATCACATCGATGATGAATCACATCACCCACAACGTCTACTTCGCCTTCTGGGATGGCGCGAGCATGATCCTAGCGGTGAATCTTGGTGCTGCTCTGTGGTTCGAGACGCTGGTCGAGCTCGTGTGGCCACGTTGGTGCTCGTGCTGCGCGTCCGCCGGGCCGTCGCTACGCACCGTCTGCATCGGGTGCGTCTGGCTGCTCGTCTGCGCGGTCATGACGCCGCTCGGCATGACAAGGGTCACGCCGTTTAACGGGCTGCTTGTGATCCCCGGCGGACAGGTCTTTGTGCTATTCTTCAACCTACCGATCCTCTCGATGGTGCTCACCGCGGCGGCGATGCTACACTGCGGCATGCCGCACATGATCCACCCCACGGGCTCGCACCTGGTCTCGACCGCCACATCGGACGAGTCGGGGGGGCTTTCCAGCGGCGACCAGAAGGACTCGCCTGCGCCTGCTTCCGAATGGGCGCTGCTGGGCGCGGCACGCGTGTACCTCTGGGTCGGGGTGGCGTCGTATCTCTTCGGCTTCGTCTGCTGGAACCTCGTCGAGCAGGGCTGCGACGCCATGCCCGACGGCTTTCGTGCCATCGGCCACGCCTTTTGGCACCTCGGCGCCGCGTACGGCCTGCACTGCCTCTTCTGCATCCTCATCTTCTTCCGCGCCGTTCTCGATGCGCGGCGCTTCGACGGCCGGTGGCGCTTCCGCTTCCGCTCGAGCCCGTCCGCGTTGCTTCGTGTGTGGCTCTGCGTCTTGCCGGTGCCGGAGGTGCTGGAGCCCCCGCCGCTAGGCATGTCGGTATGACATCGCCGCGCATGAGGTTTCACCCTCTCGGGGAAAGGCGGGATCGCACAGGTCGCATGCCGCCGAGGAACAGCCCAGAGACGATCTGAAGGCATGAGTGAGAGGGTCGTGGTGAGAGAGGCGCACACACTAGCGGAGCAAGAGTCGCTCGTGGAACGAGAATCGCCGCTGGCAGCGGGACCTGATGCGCGTCCCACACGTCTTCGTTCTCCTCGTCGCTGCTGTCCTCGCGGATGCCGTCGATGTCGAAGCCAGTCCTGCCAGCCATCACTCTGTGGCTTTGATGAGCCAACTTGGTGCCCACAAATACGCCGAAATTCCGCGTGTTTCTTTTATTTAGGGCCCGTCCCCGCCAGAAAAGAAAGAAAAAATCCAAGAGAGGAGTGGGAGGGCGGGAGAATCCAAAAAAGCCGTCCAAAAAGCCACAAAAAAATCCGCCTCCACCTCATAAATCCCGCTCCAGAAAGAAAGAAAGAAAGAAAACAGAGACGCCAAACGAGGGATGGGACGAGGACAGGGTCCCCACCTGCACGAGCAGGATTTTGGAAGGACGATCAGGGGGACAGGTGGGGCTCTCCTGCTCCTGACAAGGGACACGACAGGCTCGCAGCGCGGTGCGCGGTGGACTCCCACATCCACTGGCGGTCTCATCTCAGTCTAGCGACCTGCCTCCAGCTTGTCGCTGGCAGTCTCTCCTACCACAGGCACACTGACACAGGGGTGGCAGGGGCGGCGGCACGAGTCTCCCACATACTATGCGGGCCTCACTAGAGGTGCGGAAAATCCCGCTCCAAGCGTGAGCACAAATAGTGAAATTCTTTTCTCGCGATGTCCACCCCGCCGCGCCGCAGCTCGCGCCGCCTCGCCTCCGCCTCCACCGCCACGCCCTCGCCAGACACGCCGCCGCCCGTCCGCTTGCTCGATCTCCCCAGGGAGCTCCTCGAGCGCGCCCTCTCTCGCTGCGACAGCCCCGTCGACATCGCTCGCGTCGCGGCCGTCTCCCACCTCTTTCACTCGCTCGCGGAGCAGGGCATCCGCTTGTGGGCGCAAGGGCGCGGCTTCGAGCTGCCGGCGCAGCCAGAGGGTGAGAGCTGCGCTGTGCGGTGGCTGTGCTATTCTGCGCTGCTGAGCGAGTCCAACCTGCCGGCGAGGCTGGCGCCAGGCCGGCACCACAGCCTCTTCATCGACGGCGAGGGGCGGCTCTCTTCGTGTGGCTCTGCGCCGGATCACATCCCATGCCTCCTTGGCCACGGCGAGGGCGTGACGCGGCTCAACGCGCCGACACGCCTCCCTTCTCCGCTGGGCGGCGAGCGCGCCGTGAGCGTGTCGGCTGGAGGATACCACAGCCTCGCCCTCACCGCCGGCGGCAGCATCTGGAGCTGGGGCAGTGGAGCCTCTGGCAGGCTAGGCCACGGCGATTCGCAGGAGCAGTGGCAGCCCAAGAAGCTCGAGGCCTTTGCTGGACAGCGCGTCGTCGCCGCGTCGGTTGGAGGCAGCCACAGCTTCGCCACCACCGCCGACGGCGCCCTCTGGAGCTGGGGCGGTGGCCACGGCGACCAGCAGGACCAGCTGCTGCCCAAGAAGCTCGAGACCTTTGCTGGCCAGCGCGTCGTCGCTGTCTCGGCTGGAGATGGTCTCAGCCTCGCCCTCACCGCCGACGGCAGCATCTGGAGCTGGGGCAATGGAGCCTTTGGCCGGCTGGGCCACGGCGACGAGCAGAACCAGCTGCTGCCTAAGAAGATTGAGGCCTTGGCTAACCAGCGCGTCGTCGCTGTGTCGGCTGGACTCTACCACAGCCTCGCCATCACCGCCGACGGCGCCGTCTGGAGCTGGGGCTATGGAGGGGCAGGCCGGTTGGGCCACTGCGACGAGCAGGACCAGCTGCTGCCGAAGAAGGTCGAGGCCTTTGCTGGCCAGCGCGTCGTCGCTGTGTCGGCTGGAGGCAGTCACAGCTTCGCCCTCACCGCCGACGGCGCCGTCTGGAGCTGGGGCAGTGGATATTTAGGCCAGGTGGGCCACGGCGACGAGCAGCGCCAGCTGCTGCCAAAGAAGATCGAGGCCTTTGCTGGGCGGCGCGTCGTCGTTGTGTCCGCTGGAGAGCGCCACAGCCTCGTCCGCACCGCCGACGGAGCCCTCTTCGCGTGGGGCCAGGGCAATCGCGGCTGCCTGGGCCACGGAGAGGACTTTTCGAACCAGCTGCTGCCGAAGAAGGTCGAGGCGTGGGAGCTGGGGCGGTGAGGTATCGGGGGCTCTGTACGGCCGGGCGTTTAGCGGCGTAGATGCACTACAGGAGCTTGTTGAAGCCAGCTCGCGCGGGGCGGCTCGATGGGGGGGCGGTGCGGTGAGCATGTGAGCGAGTAGGGCTGACGGCTGAGTGGTGCCATGTTTGGACCTCAAGGTCAAGCAGTGCCAGTGGTGGAAGAAAGCGATGTAATTTTCTTTCTGAAGAAATCCAAACAAAGAGAAAGAAAGAAAACAGACACTCCAAGGGACCAACCAGAAAGAAAGAAAGAAAAGACAGCCGAGAATGTTCCACCCAAAATTCCACTCCCGGATTCAGACACGTGAGGACATCGATGGCGGCGCTTCGCTCGCCCTCCTCTCGCCGCTCTCGGCCGCCCTTGTGGCCTCGCCGCTTCCGCTGGCACGCCAAGCTGGCGGCCGCTCTCGCGTCTCCCTCTATAATCACACAGTCGCAATTCCAGGGGTCGTTGTGTCTTCGACTGAGGCATGAGTATGAAAAAACCACTGGAGCAGCAGTGGGATATCTCTTTGCGGTATATGTTTTCTACTTTAACCTGTGTTAGTGCCAGTGCGCGCCTGTCCCGTGCCCAGTGTCGTGTGGAAATAGGAAAGTGCGGCGTGGCGTGTGCGTGTGTGCGACTGCAACGAAGGACCGCTCGCAGAGGATCATTGGGTTTGTACTATTAACAACGAAGGCGCTCTCAAAAAGAAAAAAATTAAAAAAATAACTTTACAATAGAGGTCACCTTGTCCGCCTTCATCCCACTGTCAGCCTCCGCCTCCATCCCTCGCCTCCACCCTTCCTCCAATGCTGACTCTCTTCGCACACGGCTGCGACCCGACAAGGCACTCGGCCACGTTCGATGCCGCCACGCCGCTTCTCGAGGCGGCTTTTGAAATCGTTCGGACCGGGACTGGAGGCCCGTTCGAGCTCGGCTTCTCGTCAAACATGTCGGCGGCCGGAGCGAACCCGTCGTCGCTGTACGCACAGGCGCTCCTCGGGCCGTGGGGAGAGGGCGACACGCACTCTCGGAAACATTACATGCGGGACGGGCAGTATGCGTTGAAGTCCCGCGACGCGGTGGTTTCGATGCTCTGCACTCCGCCGGAGCGGGAGTCCACCTACTTTTCGTGGGAAACGTACGTGTCGGAGCGGCTCTCGTGGCCAGTGATGGAGTGGAACCAAGGGCAGGGCGCGCCGATCAGCACGTTGATCAATGCGGCGACACTAACGTCGGACCACCGGAAAGCTGGGGACACCGGCTTCTCTCCCTTCAACCGGAGCCTGATCTTGGTCACGACGGCGGACGCCGCCACCGCCGCAGCGGTTGCCTCCGCCATGGAGCGCGTTGCGCCCGCGCAGACGGATGTCCGCGTCGTCACGCTGAACGGCACGCATATCCAACTCGCTTTGCACACGCCGTTCTGACTGAGATCTGAGTTCCTCCTAGACACACGCACACACACACACACACGCGCACACACCGTATCTGGTAGGGACAGGTCTGTCCATCGCATCTACCCGTGTGCGAGTTTGCTCTATAGGCACGAACACCACCCTCCACTTTGCGCGCGGTTCTCCCTTCGAGCCGCTCGTCGAACGGCCCGACCTCTTTCAGTCGCTGCTGCGTGTGCACGCGCGCAGACGCGCGATCGCGGGCGGAGATCGTGCGCGTGCCGGCGTCGATTCGCGCCGCCAGCCGCGAGTAGGTGCGCGACACGAACGCGCGGGCGGTGCGCGAGTACGTCGCGAATCGTTTCCCCGTGATGCGCGTCTCGCCTCGTGCCGCTGCTCTGTTCCGCCCGTTGCCGCCGGCCACGGAGCCGCGCGCGGCGACGGGCCTTGGCAACGAGGCGGGCATGCTTGGCCTTGGGCGGGGTGCCGGGTCCGATCGTTTGCATGCAGGTTGCTCCCTCCCCCCTAGGCCGGCATGGCGGCCCCACTGGTGGAGCTGCGCGCCGCAGTCGTTCGAATGGCTGCCGCCGCCAACCTCACGCTGGCGGCCGAGGTCGCGTCGGCTTCACCAACGTCGGGGCTGGGGAGTAGCACCTCAGTGGGTGACTGGCCGTGCCCGCTTGCCAATCGCAGGTCGGCTTCACCGCGGTCGAGCTCGACAAGTGGCGATGCCTCACCGACCCACGCTACGCGCCGTGGCGGCTGCACCCCCGCGGCGGCTGCCTCGGCACCGTCTCCGACGCGCGAGAGATAGCCGAGATCCAGCCGAGATCCAGCCGAGAGCGAGAGATGGCCGAGATGCAGCTGCGCGGGAGGCCCGTGCGACATCGCGCCGAGAGAAGCTGAGCGCGATATGGTGAAGCCATCCTCGGCTCTGCACCTCGACGCTGTCCCTCGGACGCTCCATTGTGGACGCGCTTCGACGCACTCCCAACCCATGGCCAGGCCCGCGAGGGTTAGCCCATTGGCGGCCCGAGGGGCGCGCAGCTCCATTCATCACGCTGCCTCATATGCCGCCCGCGCCATTTGAGAGCAGGCGCGCTACTCCCTCTCCGACCGCAACCTGCCGGTGAGTGCCGCGACGCCGCTCGTCGTGGCGATCGGTGAGCAGAGCTCAGACACCACCTCTCACCGCACCTGACCTTGCGTCCCCGGATCCATGACAGGCGTGGACCACGTCGCGATGGGCAACGCCGCCTCCGCAGACCTGCTCGCAGGCACCGCTTAGCGGGGTCGAGCCGGCACACGGTCCCCGAATGAATGGAAGGGGCCCCCTCTCCCTCCTAGCCTCCTTCCCCTGTGATTCGCTCCCTCTCCTGCGGCCTCGGGCAGGCACCGCCGTCGCCGTCACGCCGGAGCGGCTCCGCGGCTCCGCCAGCCACTTCCTCGGTCGAGCCGAGCCGCGCCTCTTCGCCTTCGCCTTCGCACTCGACTGCAAGGCCCCCGCCGCCGCCGCCGCGCAGCCGTACTGCTTGCGCCCTCCGCGCGAGCTGCTCGAAGGCGCCTACGGAGCTCTCGCTGCGGCACCCGAAGGCACGCCTTTCGTCCTGTGGGCATGTCCGTGTCACACGACACGCCCCATACAGGTGCGCTGCGGTACGAAGCGTACATGGACCCGGCGACCGGCACGCGCCCCTCCATTGGACTGGTGCAGCCCACGGCGCTGGCGTTCGTGCCCGCCGCCCGCGCCGCGACCGGAACGGCATACTGAGGTCTCCATGCCGCGCTGGCGTTCGTGCCCAAGCACTAGCTGAGGTATCCATATGCCTCGCGCGAGTAATTCGGCACAGGCGAGCGGGTCAAACAAATAAACAACCCTTTTCCTGGCAAGCTAGGATTATAACTTAAGATGTTCACGGCCCCCCACAAACTCAATAACAAATCAACAAGCTAACCGAGAACTTGCGACAACCTGCGAGCGCCCGCGCGCCTCTCCCAGCACCCAGGCCTATGCGATGGGGCCTTTACCATCCACCAAACGCATGCTCCATGCATGAGAGCGAGAGGCTGGGGGAGTGAATGCAGACGACACCTTGCCTTCAACAACAACAGCGGAGGTTGCCAAGACCGGTACTCCGAATCCATTGGCGCGTATTGGCGGCACCGTGATACATCACTGACTGTATTTAATTAATGGCTATCTATGCAAGCAAATAAGCGTCCATCATCACCACGTTTGTTTTCGTCTATTTGAGCCTAACTAAGCTACGAGCCATATTCGAGACTTAGTCTGCAACTATGAGGGCAGCTGCTAGCAATCCTCGGATCTTGGGTACGATTGTGAGCGCCGCCGCTCATAGTCCTACAAGATGTAGGATTGCGAGCGCTACTGCTCGCAATCGGAGGCATGTTGCTAGGATTGCGAGCAGTGCTGCTCGCAATCCTAGACTTTGCTCGGATTGCGAGCGCGCTGGTAGTAGTCGTAGGCGTCACCAGTCACCTTGGGAGCGGAGCTGCTCTTAGTCCTAGAAGATGTAGGATTGCGAGCGTGGGTGCTAGCAATCGCACAGAGATGCTACGATTGCGAGGAGTGCTGCTCACAATCCTTCGACTTCTAGGATTGAGAGCGAGGCTGCTCTCAATCCTTCCGGTCTAGAAAAGAAGGTTCACCAACACAGTCCGACCAACGACTGGGACACCAACGCGGTATGGGTGGACGCAGGACGGGCGATGACGGTCACACAGGAGCGACACACAGAACCACAAGACAAGACACTCAGCCAACGGGGCGGCTGCCACACATCCTGAGCGAACTTCCCTAGTCACCCGCGGCCGGACTCCATCCGGCACGCGTCGCTCAGAGCTGCGTCCCCTGCTCGCCACCCCGACGCCCAAGGCGCCCGAGCGAACGACAGGCGGCACGCGAAGACTGATTGCAGACGTACGTACGCAAAAGAATTCAACGCTTGGGGCCCCCGCCCAGCGTCGCCTCCCTACGATATGCGCGGTGTACATACATGAGTTCCGAACCCCCACGAGTCGCGCTGAGCGTCATCCTCCCGGTGTACAATGCGATGCCGTGGCTGACGGTCGCGCTCCGGGACATGCTCAAGCAGCAGCTTCCTGGCGGTGCGAGCCTCGAGGTCCTCGCAGCCTTTGACGGCGGTGACGACGGCTCGCTCGGCTTCCTCCTCGCCCTCGCCAACGAGCTCGGCGCGCGCGCGACCGACGAGCTCTCCACCGCTGGCGGCGCCGCGCCCGCCTCGAACCCCGCGCTGCTGCAGCCGCTGCGAGCGCCCGAGACGGAGGACCACCCGTCGTTCGACGCGGCGCAGCCGGGAGTGGACCAGCGGCCGCTGAGCGCGGCTGAGGTCGCCGCCGCGAGCCGCCCCGAGCACCGGCTGCGCGTGCTGCGCTACCGCGACGGTGCCAACCGCGGGCAAGGCGCCGCCATGTCGCTCGCGCTGGCGCATGCCCGCGCGCCTCTCCTCGCGCAGATGGAGTCGGACGACGAGCGGCGGCCGGCGGACGCGTTCGCGCGGATGCTGGCCGCGCTGCAGGCCCAGCCTACGTGGGATGCCGTCAGCTGCCAGGCAGAGCTGGTTGGGTGGCCGAGGCCGGGCATGGAGCAGTACGTCGCGTGGCAAGGCCCCCGAGATGCGGATACAGACTGCTTGTATGCCGACTAGCATTCGAGAGGCCAACTCGACCGTGCTCCGCCTCAGTCCCTGTACTCGCAGCCCTTCCATCCACGCGGTGCCCTGACGACACGGCACCGTACCTTGTTGCACCGTCCCTTCTTCTCCGACCTGCGAGTGAACCGCCGGGGCGGGCGCTTGCGGCGCCGCTGCGACCTGACCTTGGGTCGTGCGGTCATGACGCAGGCAAAACTCTCTCCTCTCGCCCGAGCAGATGGCGGCGGGGCGGTTCGTCGAGATCCCGGCGCTCCACCAGACGGGCACCACCTCGTTGACCCGAGATGACCCGAGGTTCACCGAGGTTCACCGAGATTAGGCGCTCCACCAGACGGCAATCTTCCGGCGCGAGGCCGTCGAGGAGGTGCTCGCCACTGCGCCTATTCTCGGGCAATCTCGGGCAATCTCGGGTAATCTCGGTGGTTCCCGTCGAAAAAGGTGCTCGCCACGTCGGGCGGCCGATACCGCGACGGCCCACGCCGGCATTGGGAGGCGCCCGCCGCCGCCGCCGCCGCCGCCGGCAGCGGCGGCAGCGGCGGCGGAGGCGGAGGCGGAGGCGGCGGCGGAGGCGGCGGCGGCGGCGGCGGAGGCGGAGTGCGAGGAGCTGAGGTGGTGGGCAGCGCAGCTTCGCCGCCGCCGGCGGCAGTGTTGGCAGCGGCAGCGGTGGCGGTGGCGGCGCCGTCGGCGGCGGCGGCGGGCGAGGCGGCGGGCGAGGCGGCGGGCGAGGCGGCGGGCGAGGCGGCGGGCGAGGCGGCGGGCGACGAGCTCGACACGCCGGTGGACTTGTGGTGGTGGCTGGCTTTCTTCCACTGCGGCAAGCGCTGTGGCGCGCTCGATCGGGGCCACGGGCTGGACACGCCCAGGCCCACGTCCGTCACGCGTTCATGGTGTGACAGGCAAGCTCGGCGGCGACCCGCTCTTCGGCTGGCGGCAGCACCCGCGGCAGCACACGCGCACGCACGGCCGCCTCTCGCTCGACAGTTTGCGGCGCGTCAAGGCGCACTTTGTGATGCGCGGCCCGGGGGCGGGCGCGACGCAGCTGCAGGTGCGGCCCACCGGCCACCCTTCGCCTTGCACTTGAAATGCCGCGCGACTCCTGCACTGCCCGACGGAAGATGTTTGGGGGGACAGCGCGTGGCCGTTTCCCCTCGCCCTGTGGGCAAGCGAGTGACCCACACCCTGCCCCACCCCAGGTGTGGTCCACCGGACACACCCTCGGCGCTTGGGAGAAGGAGCTTCGCGCCGCCGGCGCGTCGGACGTGCTGGCGGTGTCCTGGAAGCCAGGCGCACCGCCGCCCGAGGGGTGGCGCCGGCTCACCAAGCGCAAGGCGGCCGCCGAGGAGCCCGGTGGACGGCACGGCGTCGTGCGCCTCTTTGCCTTTGGCAAGGAGAAGGCGCGGGAGAAGGTGCGGACGTCGGTGCGCGACTGGGACGCGCAGCTAGACTGGTTCGTGGCGTGAGCTGACCCATTGATCGGATTGAGTCGTCTTTGGTATCATTCTCGACACCTTTGCTGAGCTGCGCGGCAAGAAGGCGCGCGCGGACAGCGCGACGACCCACGCTCGACACCTCGGCCAAACCTCGGCGAATCTCGCGCGAGTAGGCGGCCACCAATAGGGGTTAGACAGCGCCGATTTCTCGCGCATACCAGGCGCAATCGCTTGACTCTGAAAAGCTCGCCGATCCCTGCGGTGAGCGCTGTGGTCGCCGCAGACTGGCTCCGACTTGACGGGCGCATGGGACACGTGATGCCTCCATTGTGAGGCCTTGACGACGTCGTGGTGGGCGCACTGCCTGGAGAGCCTGCGGTGTGCGGTGGCGCCGCCGCGCCGCCGCTAAGGCAGGCGATCAATATTGATTCTCGCCCCTGTAACTATTGATATTGATTATTGACAGCATCCCCTCTAACTATTGACAATATATTGACATATTGATCGCTGATTTTAACCTCCAAGAGCACATTTGTCCCAAACATCGCCTAGATGTGGGCTGAAATCGAAAAAAATCGCGAGTTCAAGGCGATTTTTAATGCGGTTTAAGCGATTTCGAAGCGATTTTGGCCCGTTTTTAACGATTTAGAGCCACTTTCAAGCCCAGGATGGACCCACCTGACGGTCCTGACCAGCCCAGGCCCAGCCTCTCCTCTAACTATATTGCCATATATATTGATATTGATCGCCTCTCTAACTATTGGAGCAATATATTCAATATTTATCGCCTGCCTTAGCCGCCGCCCGCCATGTAGCATACCCCACTCAGCCCCGCCCCCACTGGGGGCGGGGCCCTTCAAGGGCCTGGCCCTGACTCGAATTCTTTTCCTGGGAGTTTTGTTGTAAAATTCTTTGTGCGCGCCAGTCCCGTGCGCAGTGTCGACGGCCGTGCTCGTGTGCGTGCGCGCGTGGCGCGCGCCGTGCGGGATCGTGGGATTTCTCGCCTCGAGCTCGACACACGGCCTCCTCTCTTCCCCGAGCCGCCTGAGCCCGAGCCGCATGGGCTGCGCTGGCCCCACTCTCTCGTGTGGCATGACTGCTCTGTGTAGGCTTTGCCACCTTCTTCAAGGCGCTCGCCTTTGCAGAGTGCTGCCACCCCACCGGCGCCGACGCCCCGACCTCCCCACTTGGCTGCAGTGGTTCCTCTCGCTGCCGGAGCCAGCCCTCCGCCACGGCAGGCTGAAGGCCCCCGCACGGGGGGTCCCGGCCGACGTCATGATCGTCCGGACGCGGCCCTCCGTACACGGAAACAGGATACTGAAGGCATTCCCGAACTCAAAACAGGATACTGAGGGCAGATATGAGCTCAGCTCAGTGAGATTTAGCTGCACATACCCTTAGTATCCAGAATAGTCCAGTCTGAAAAAAGTCGGTCCGACCGCGCGGACCCGTCTGGCTGTCTACAGAGCCCCCGCGGCGCGCGGGCACGCCTGGTCCTCTCGCGGCGGCGAGGAGGGAGCGAGCCCCGTGATCAGCGTCAATCCTGTGTGTGAGGGGGGGGGGGGGGGGGAGACACTTATGCTCGTAGGTCAGGGAGGTGTAGATGGCCGGGATCAACCACCTGCACTCGGATGAGCCGCAGCCTAATCTCCGCCATCGCTGCAGCAGGCAGCAGCTTGCCAAAGGAGCCGCCGGTCGTCGACTTACCGTTGACCTCGGCGATGAAGTCGCCCACGCAAAGACCGGCGGTCGCCAGCGCCTCCCTCGACCACCTTAGCCTCGTCGAACGGCACGGGGAGATAGGTCCGCACGTAGCTCCTCCTCTTGCCGCCCGACTTGCAGAGCATCTGCTGCACGCGTCCGCACCACCAGTCGAACCTACCCGCGCTGTCGTACGTTGCAATCACACGTTCGTGCTGATCTCGAGCATTGGTGTTGCACTTGTGAGCGGCGACTCCGTCGGCTAGTCGGCGGCGGGCGCCGCGGACGCGGCGGTGTCAGAAGCGGCGGGGCCGGGTCCGGGGCCGGTGGCAGCGGCGCCGGGCGCAAGGCCGGCGGGGCCGGTGGCAGCGACGCCGGGCGCAAGGCTGGCTGCGGCAGGCGCGGGGGGGAGGGCGGCAGAGGCGCGGTCGCGGTCGAGATCGAGCTTGGCCTGCTTGGCAGCGGCCGTGATCTTCTCTAGGCGCGACGTCGGTAGCTGCTTGCCGGCACCTATGCGTGATGCCAGCAGAAAGGACGCTGATTCATGCTCAAATGCGACACCGGGTGTCTTCGAAACAGCTGCCGCTGGCATCCGCCGTGGACTAAAAACTGCGATCTCAGTGCCCCAGCACGCAAAATTTTCTCTGCGGGGCTACCGCCCCGCACCCCGCCCGGGATGAATTCACACCTCTCAACGGTTGTTCACACTTGGAAAACTCATCGGATTTGGGCCACTTGCCTGGGCGACCCCGGACCCCTGGCGGACGATCATGACGTCGGCCGGGACCCCCCGTGGCAGGTTGCGAACACTGCGAGGGCGGCTCATGCACACGGTGCAGCTCTCGCCGTCCTCGACCTCCATTGCCTCGTGCGTTGGTACAATGAGTCGATGCAACGTGTAACCCGAAAAGCAAGCAGCTGAATTTCCGTTCGCATTGTCCGCCGCTCGGGCCGCCGCCGTCAGCGCCGCGCCCCCGCCAGCGCTCGCCTTTCGCCTGACGCACAATCGCATTACTTCAACGTAAGAGAGGTCGAGCCTGCCCATGGCGCCATGTCAAAAAAGAATTTTACAACAAAAAAGAATAGCTCTTGGTGTGAGAAGTTTACGTTACCTTATACTTACCTTACCGCCCTCCAAGCTCTTTGAGGCACTCCACGCGCGCGACGCCAAGCGCGTGCATCTCGCGTCGAAGGAGGGCTGCGACGTCAACGAGACTGGCGGGGAATGCGCTCCCTCTCAGTCTCACCGCCGCGCTCCCCGTTCGGCTCCCCCGAGATGATGTGTTTTTGATGACGGCTTTTTCCGCAGCGCATCAACGAGCTTCGTTTTCCAGATTTGAGTGCACACGGCGGAACACGCGCGCCGGCCCCCGGCCGCGGCCGCAGGCGTGTGCATAAACCAGATTCTCAGCTCTACTGGCTGGTGCGCAAAAACACATAATCCGCAGGGGCCGTGCAAGGCATGACATCACTGCGGCGGCGCGAGTCCGTGTGCAGGTTCTGCGCTGCTCGCCACAAGCCGCACCACCGACGGCCGCCCGGTCTCTCTCTCTCTCTCTCTCTCTCACTCTCACTCTCTCTTCCCCCTCTCCCCTCCTCCCTAGTCCACCTTGATGGCCGAGAAGATCCTCCACACGAACCAGTAGCACGCGTAAAAGCCAATGGTGCCCGTGAGGACGAAGAACACGAGGGCGGCGATGAACATGTAGCCGAAGTAGAGCAAGCACGAGGTGAGCTTTGTGATCTCGAGCTTGGTGTAAAAGTAAAAGGCCGAGTACGCAAACATGTACCCCGCCGACGAGCCTGCCGACCGGGAGAGAGGGCGGCTGGCGCAGGCGGCGCGGGGTTCTCCGGCGCCCGCTACCTCGAGTTGGTGGCCACGCGCGCTCGCGGCCGGCTGCGGGGCGTCGTGGGGCGCGGGGCGAGAGTGCGGCGGCTGTGCGCTGCAACGCCCGCCGCCGACGGAGTGTGGAGCGCCGTTGTTGTCGTGTGTCTCTGGGCGGGCGCGCGCCCGAGGTGAGGAATGCGCGCCACCACCAGTGGTAGTCCTCCGCGCAGAGCTGGAAGTAGCACATCACCATGGTGATCTCGGCGCAGGTGATGATCAGGATGAGGAAGACGAGGAGCAGGAAGCCAAACACGTAGTAGAACTGGTGCAGCCAGATGGAGGAGAGAATAAAGAAGAGCTCGATAAACACAGCGCCTGTGGCGGCGCGGCGGCGGTGAGGGAGAGCGGTGAGCAGCAGCGGCGGCGGTGGTGTTGGGCGGCGGCGGGGCGGCGGGGCGGCGGGGCGGCGGGGCGGCGGAGCGGCGGGGCGGCGGAGGCGGCGCGCCAAAAGGGAGGACTCCGCCAACCACGATGGAGAAGGCGGGCCTCATGTACCAGACCTGCTCGGGCACCTGCCTCGGTATCTGGTTGACGCGGACCGGCAAGTCGACGTTCTTGCGCCGGTAGCCGAGGTAGGACCTGCGGTCGGGGGAGAGGCGGGGTCGGAAGGCCAGGCCGGCTGCGCTGCGTCACGTCTCTTGGCGCGGCGCCGTGTGTCGTGCGGCGGCGGCGCGGACGGCGCAGGATGTGTGCCGCAGGAGTGTGCTTGGGTGCAGGCACGCGGTGGTGGGGCAGGAGGCGGGGGAGGAGGTGGGGCGGCGGGTGGTGCGGCGGGTGGGGCAGGAGGTGGGGCGGCGGGCGGGCGCACCCCGCAAAGACCAGCGGCATGGAGATTCCGAACCACAACACCAGCAGCGCAAACATGGTTCCGAACGGGACGGCGCCAGACGACTTCTCGCCCCACACAAAGCAGTTGAGGACGAAGAAGATGAGAAAGACGACGCCGGGGAAGAAGGTGGACGTGAGCAGGATGTTCGTGCGCCAGTCCACCTACTCCCATACCTCCAGAGTACCGAACCCGTGCGCCCGTCCACCTACTCCCATACCTCCAGAGTACCGAACCCAGGGTGGGTTCAGCCCCGTGGGTGGTGCGGTATCACGCGGGCGTCGTGAGACCGCCCACACCGGCTAGAGCACGCCGCTGTCTTGGCATTCCCCCCCCCACACCCCCCCCCCCCCACACACACACACCCTCTCCCCTCTCCCCTCCCCCCTCTCCCCTCTCCGTCGCTGCGCACCCCCTTCAGCGTCTTGTGCAGGAAGGCGGACGCGTAGCCGGCGGGCACGCCCATAAAGACGAAGAGCAGCAGCATGGCGGTGCCGAGCCCGCCGCGGTTGGCGGGCGAGAGGAAGCCGAGCACCGCGAAGACCATCGTGATGACCTGCGGGGGCAGCCGCGTCCGCGCGTCGGCGCAGCCACGCCGCATCAGAGGGTACGGTTGAGGTGGCGGCGGCATCAGCGGCGACTCGGAGTGGGGAGGTGGCGGCGGCGGCGGGAGCGACGGGCGGCAGGAAGGGTGGGGGCGGTGAAGGCAAGAGGAGAGGCGGGAGGGGAGAACGGCGTGCGGCGCAGCGGAGGGGGGCAGAGCGCCGCGAGCCGCAGGGATCGCGGACCGTCATGCAAAAGGTTAGGTAATTAGTTAGGTAATGAATGAGTGAGGCAGGGCTCGCGGACCGTCATGCAGAAGGTTTGCGCGCCCGTGCCGACCAGGACAGAGAGCATCATCGGGTTCTGCGGCGGCCGGAAGACATCACCGTGGACGAGCTTCCAGCCGGTCTCCTCCTCCACCTCCTCGGCCGCCTCGATGGCGTTGTACCGGTTGAAGTCGCGGTGCAGCGTGCGCATCAGGATCATGGCCACCATGCCGGAGAGGAAGAGGACGATCATCAGCGAGTTGACGATCGAGAACCTAATCAAGTCATTAATTATAATTAATTACTAACTAGCTAGAGTCGTCAGCCGTCAGAGAGCCGTTCACGAGAGCTTCTGGCGGAGCAAGTGGGTGGGTGGGGCTGTTGGCGTTGGCGTTGGCGTTGGCGTTGGCGTTGGCGTTGGCGTTGGCGTGGGCGTGGGCGTGGGCGTGGGCGTGGGCGTGGGCGTGGGCGTGGGCGTGGGCGTGGGCGTGGGCGTGGGCGTGGGCGTGGGCGTGGGCGTGGGCGTGGGCGTGTGCGTGTGCGTGTGCGTGTGCGTGTGCGTGTGCGTGTGCGTGTGCGTGTGCGTGTGCGTGTGCGTGTGCGTGTGCGTGTGCGTGTGCGTGTGCGTGTGCGTGTGCGTGTGCGTGTGCGTGTGCGTGTGCGTGTGCGTGTGCGTGTGCGTGTGCGTGTGCGTGTGCGTGTGCGTGTGCATGTGCGTGTGCGTGTGCGTGTGTGTGTGTGTGTGTGTGTGTGTGTGTGGGTTTGTGTGTGTGTGGGTTTGGGGGATGGGAGGGGGGCAGAGGTGGGGGGCGAGGGTGGTGCACCAGTGGATCTGCTCGTCGCCCATCAGCAAGTACGTGTCCCAGCGCGAGGCCCACTTGATGTCGGACACCTCCCACTTCACGTCGTACGTGAAGACCGCCTCCGCCGCGCCGCTCATCCCCTATGAGACATGTCATAGAGGTGTCCTGGACATGTCCTGGACATGTCACGCCACGCTCCTCGAGCCTCGCCTATGAGACATGTCATAGAGGTGTCCTGGACATGTCCTGGACATGT